CAGGACACTGGGTTGTGGGGTGATGCTCCTGCCGTGAGCTCCGAATGCACTGGCATCTCCAGCATTGTGTTTCATTGCACAGGTCATGTGGCCGGGGTGAAAGCAGTTGGCTTTTGTTATTTTGCTGATTACAAGACAAAAACCTGATGAGACTGGTTTTTGTGCTTACAGAGAGAACTGACAGGCAAAACTAAAAAAGGAAACTATAACCTTTAGAAATTTTAATGACAATGTTGTCATGATTTACTCACACTCTTGTCATTCCAAACCCATTTTCTGTTATTTTTTTCTTTTTAAATTATTTTCATTTCTAGATAGTTCTAGAACTATCCCTTTAATCTGCTGCTTTAATCTGTTAAGAGACTGAGAAACTTGAGGCAGGAACATTTATTGCTCAAAGATTACTCTTTTAATGGATATTTTAACATTTCTCAGATGTTTCGCCTAAAATTTGTTAGGAGAGATAAAAATAGACACAAATTGTTGACATACAGTAATGGATCTATAAAATGTGTATAGCAACTCAACTTTTTTAAGGTCCATCTTAAGTTCTTTTCATTGCAGACTTTTCTGAAAATTTAGATCAGTGTTTCTCAAATTTGTTTCAGGTGGTGAGCTGTTTTTTACCCACCAAATCCTCTAGACACAGCTAAGCTTACTGGGGTCCAGAGAAAAATCTGAGAAGCAGGAGACTATAACAAAGGTATATTTGTTTCAAATGAATATACTTGCTGTCTAGAAGAAACTTAAAGATTTGTGATTTTTCTTTCCTGCATGTTTCACAGTCTATATACACTACCATTTAAAAGTTTGGAGTTGGTAAGATTTTTTAACATGTTTTTGAAAAAAGTATCTTATGCTGACCAAGGCTTCATTAATTTGATCAAAATTACAGAAAAAAACAGTAATATTGTGAAATAATATTACTATTTAAAATAACTGATTTTTATTTGAATATTTTTCAAAACGTAATGTATTCCTGTGATGGAAAGCTGAGCATCATTACTCCAGTCTTCAGTGTCACATGATCCTTTAGAAATCATTCTAATATGCTGATTTGCTGCTCAAGAAACATTTATTATTATCATTGTTGAAAAAATTTTTGCTTCTTCATATTTTTTGGAAACTGTGATACATTTTTGATTAATAGAAAGTTCAAAAGCATTTATTTAAAATAGGACTTTTCATAACATCATCAATTTTACTATTACTTTTTATCAGTTTAATGCATCTTTGGTAAATAAAAAGTATTAATTTTTTTTTAAATCTTACTAACCTCAAACTTTTGAACAGTAGTTTATGCTGAATGTTTCGCCACAGTTAGAGAGAGGCAGCGACCAAGAGAATCTCTGACAGCAGCACAGCTGGACAGAACTTAAAGAAGACAGCACTTTCTTATGACTGATCAGAGACAGTAAAGCCCAACCGGACCGCTGTGATCTGCTCCGCTTCTCTCCACATGATGGATTCCTGCTTGTCCAGATTGTACAGCCTCTTAATTCATGGCCTCAGTGGTGGAACAAATTCCAGCTCATACATCAGCCACTTTCAAAAGAAACCTCAAGACTCCCTATAACTAGACCTCACACAAATACACACACAAACCTGCACTGCAACAAACTGTATTTGTTGTATTATGTACAGTAGGCCTTTGTATTGGTAGGAAAATATATATAGCATATATATAATATATAACTCGTAATAAGACAGTATAAAAAGGATTTTTACTTTGTGTTGAATTTTCACAGGCGCACTCTAAAAAATGCTGGGTTAAATATAACCCAGTGCTGTGTTAAAAAGGGACAAACCCAGCTATTGGGTTGTTTTGACCCAATAGCTGGGTTTGTCCCTTTTTAACCCAGCATTTTTTAGAGTGTGTGAATGATTGTGTGTAATGGTGAGTGATGGTAAGTGATTTTAAGTAATGAGGAATAATGGTGAGTGATGGTTCATTGATTTGGATGAGAGTGAAATAGCTTATGTGATGGTTGCATTTGGCAAGTAATGGTAAAAAATGGTTAATGGTGTGAGTAATGGAGAATAATGTTTATTGATTGTTCATTGATGGTAAAGGATGGTAAATAATGGTGTGTGGTGGTTTATTAATATGAGTGATTTTCAGTGTTTGAGTGATATTAGTGATGGTAACTAATGATGACTAATGGTAGGACTGATAGTTACCGGACTGCAGACCACAATTAGAAACTGGCAAAACAGTCTTCAAATAAACTGCATTGAATGGATTATGCAGATTGGTGAAAAATTGTGGATAGTGTTCACTAAATAATGGGTGAGTGATGGTTTATTTATACTGTAAATTATGTTCGTTTTTGGAAAGCAATATTAGTGATGATGAATAATGCCAGGATTGTTAACTAGTTAATGGATTATAAACCACATTTATAAACTCATAAAATAAAGAAAGGCAAGGCAATGCATATGCATCGAATGCATAATGGTGAAAAAATTGTGAAATGTTGGTGAATTACGTTTCAGTGATAAGGTTGTGAAAGATGTGCTGTGATGTTGAGTGATGCTGGTGTTTCTCAGAGCAGGTGGATTGTCAGCAGCAGTGAGGGAATCACCGAGCACACTTGCACGCTCCTCTAGTGCTCCACAGACCTTCATTACTCCAGTCTGTCGATGTGAGACGCGGATGACAACGTTGAAATCGCAGGTGCACGAATCGAACCGTCCCTTTGCAGACGTTATAACGAAGAAGAGGGGTTATATGGTGAGTCATTCTGTGATGGTGAGTTTGCGCTTCTTCTTCGCGTTTCTTCAGTCATTGATCGCAGTCTAACGCTACAGCCATACATTGAATGCGGGCATACACGATTGTCAACGGCGTGTTTCTTATTCGCTTCACGCGTGTTTCTACAAACGGATTAATTATTAATGTAAGATGAGTGAATATTCAGAGACCGCAGAGATCATTGGGCTTTGCTTTGTTGGATATACGTTCAGTTCAATAATTTAAAGATGATTTGTGGGTTATAATGTGCCGATTCATCCACACCATGACTTTACAAGGATGCATTTTAATGCATCCAAAACATGTTTGTCACAAACCGGTGTTCAGCGTGAGCTGTAAATGGATGAATCTCATGAACCACATTTCACCCTCAAATTAAAAGGAAAAACTACGAAATTATATTTGCATTCATATTTTCATTACAATTCATCACGTTTCCATTGACTGTATTGCAGAAAATAATTCGATATCATTTAAACAGTAATATTATTAATTATTAATATATTTCAAGGCTGTATTTGTTGTACTACCTTTAAAATCGACTGATTTTAATAAAAAAATAAACTGACCAGACAGGATGATTTCATTGCTTTGTTACAGTTAATGAGAATCTAATGCGAACCATCATTAAGAATAATGAGAATCGCAGCCAAACCTCAAAAGTTAAACATCGTGAGACTTAACATTGAAAACTAGGGAGAAAATGAGTTGAATTGTACTGAAAATAATGCAGAATATATATTGTGTCATAAAAAGCCATTGAATGCATTTTATTTATTTTGGGGTGAAATACAATCAATACACTGATATGCACCTCATGAAGCAAACTTGTGTGTTTTGAGCCAGAATAGTTTTACAGCAAATCACCCGTGTAAAGCCAATAATCAGCCTATTCTGATGGGTTCTCTCGTGCATTAGGTCTGTTGTCTTTCTCTAACGCCTCACACCATCATCAGTAAATCAATCCAGATTTCTGCAGTGAATATGAAGGCATGCAGTGAGTCACAGCACACATTAATGCTGCCTTCACATTCATGCAAAACAAACCCAACCACTGTATATTCCCATTCAGATTATTGCCTCGAAATGAATCAGATTTTTTTTAAAAGTGCATGTATAGGAACAACCTCCATTTTATTGAGAAGCCTTGCACACTTTTGACCTTGTAATGTTTTGACATTATGAACCATATTAAGTCATTTCAATTTCATTAGGTACTGCAAATGTGATGCTTTTCTCTTTGTGTTAAAGGAATTAATGTAGCAATACAGTAGGTCACAATAGCATTAGCCGTATAAAAATATACTAGAACATACAATGTTAAATGACCGTTATTATTATTGCCAGATGCTGTTGTGCCTTCAAGAGCACAGAGCCCACTCAGAAACAGAGCCACATTCAGCCCTGTGCTTCTCATTATGATGGTTATCAGAGCCACTGTGTGTTTTGCATTCATAAAAAAAAACCTTCTGTTTGATTGACACTCAACTGTCTTTCTCTCCTTGAAGTGCCTGTTGTTTGCATCCCACAAGGGTTACAAAAATAGCACAGAGAAGGGAGAAATGTGCAAGAAAAAACATTTAGATGTACATTTTCTACTCAAATTGGCATTTGTAGACTTGAGAACTGCAGTGAATGTAAAGCATTCACATACAACCAGAACAAATAATCAGAGGTTCATTGGGAGGAAAACAGTGTAATATCCGATTCTTTTCAGCATCAGCTCATCTTGTTTTTCTGATCATGCAAGTTAGGAGTTCTGCCGTTGCATGTAATTGAATCACTACTCGTTCTTGTCTATGTGTGTTTCAGTGTGTGTTTTATTCGCTATGATTCATCCATTTATTCCTTTTTTGGGGATCTAAGAAAGATGAGTAAGACGGCGGGGGCTCGGAGACCGTTCGCTATCCTCGCAGAGGTCCTGTCTTAAGGGATTTTATACCTTCTTAGATTCGCTGTGGATCAGTAAATCTGGCTGACACGCATTTCCCATAAACTCCTGCCCACTCACCCCTCCCTCCGCATTGACCCTGCACACTTCAGCGATCAGAGATTTGATTATTTTGGATGGGGTTGTATATAATAAAGAACGTAAGGGTGATTCAGTGTTATTGTGGATCCAGACTGAGCGTCAGCCACTGTGCTGCAGTGTATTATGATGTGGCCAGTAGTACTGAAGCAGCTCTGTGTCTCTGTGTGTGTGTGTGTGTGTTTTAAAACAATGTTCCTTCTCTTTTATGCTTTATAAGGTTGTGTGTGAGATCTCTGGGAACAATCGTGAGCAGAATGCATAGACACATGACTAGAGAGTCCTTCCTCATCCTCTTCCTCATCATCAGCCTGGTAAGAGCAGAGACGGACACATATTTTTCTTCTTTGGGCCTGTGTTGGGCCATAGATTTACATGATTATATTTCACAAATGTGACCATTATTGACGTTTAATGAATTACTATTACAATTGCTTATTTAAAGTTAGTGTTTTGAACAAACCCCTAACCCTCATTATTAAACATTGGGTGTCATGATTTTGTCTGGTAGACTATAAAATAGCCATATTTAGAGACCAAAGACTAAGCAACCATCCAGAAAACCCTAGAAAGCAGCTACCAGTGCCCTAGCAACCATTCAGAACACCCTAGCAACCAAAGTATTATTTAAGTATTATTTTTATACTGTTATAGTTTATATTAGTGTTCTGAATTAGCTTTTATTTATTCTTTTTTTCCATTTTAATTTTAGTTTAATTTATAAAAAATATTTCTGTGCTTTTGTCAGTTTTATTAGGGCTTTTTTTTTTTTACTATTACTATGTTGGTTTCATTTATTTTTAATTCAGTTTTAGTTTTTATTCATTTCCATTTTCAAGTTTATTTTCAATAATTTTAGTTCTTAAACTTATTTCAGTTAGATTCTTTTTTTTTTTACACTTTTACACTTACACTTTACCTTCCTTAGTTAACCTCAGTTAATGCATTAACTAGCAATAACTAATAATGAGCAATACATTTGTTACAGTATTTATGAATCTTTGTTAATGTTAGTTAATAAAAATACACCTGTTCTTAGTTCATGTTAGCTCAGATTCATTAAGTAATATTAACAGATTTAAGTTTTGATTTTAAAAATGTATTGGTACATGTTGAAATTAACATTAACTTGTGGACACCTTGGAAACAGGTAGTAGCACTAAAACAGAACTAGTTTTTGTATTTTCTTCTTCAGTGTTCACAATGCTAGTGTGTTTCACCAGAGTGTTACTACTCTGGCGAAACACACTAGCATTGTGAACAGGCAAGCAGAAAATACAAAAACTAGTTCTGTTTTAGTTCCACTACCAGTTTCAAAGCATATCTGAAAGGTTGACTTTTAAAAGAAGAAGAAAAACACATTCTGAGGTTTTGTGATAACTGTAGTGTGATAAAAGACTTCTTGGTAATTTCCCTACAGCGAGGTAACAAGCAAGAGCATGTTATCTTTAATCAAAATAAAGAGAAAAGATGTTTGAATGGTTTGGTGAGAATGGAGGGTTTTGTTGATTTGCATAATAAGTCCATTGAAAAATATTGCTCAGATGTTGCTCTTATATAGTGATTTAATTTCACCTCTATATCTTCTCACTTAAAATAAAGGTTCTTTATTGGTTCACCTTTAAAATCCATGGAGCCTTTCAATTGCACAAAGAAGTCTTTATAGTGGAAAAAAGGTTGTTTAGAATTTTAAAAATGTTCTTCACACTAAGAAAAAATGGTTATTTATGTGTATTTTTTTTCAAATTTTTTAAATGCCAAAGCGCAGTATTTTACATGCGTGTGTTTATTGATATACTCAGTAAAAATAATGGTACACCTGTATTAAGTCTAATTAAAACCTAGTATTTGAGTCTATAAATGCAGTAGAATTCAGAATCCAGAGGGCACAGTGTGGTCAGTAGCAACGAAAAGGGAACCGTCATTTATTAAATTATTTTTGTTTCTGGGAAGGTTTTATTTTTGTTGGAATCCAGACTGCAGACTGGATCGTTTTAGATTGGCGATTTTGAGCTCTGACCCCTGACCCCACCAATTAAGGCCTGAATGTCCCAAAAGAAGGCAAAACGAAAGGTTGGGTATAAGGGGTCAAGTGTATATATCTGAAATATTAAATGCCTCATTTTACATAATTAATTTTAGGACTTTCGCATAACATTTCAGTAACCACAAACATTAGATTACAAGTTACTCAGAGTGTGTATTTTCAGTAAGTTGCAGGGGGAGGTAACCATAGCAACAGTTGGCTCCTCAAGTGCTTTCCATTCGGATCAATGGACAGTACATCATGTGATGTCATTATTTGGCACTTTGTTTTAGATTTAAATTGATCCCATCAGTTGTGTTGTATAATTCACACCCTACTACAGACAAATCATTGTTTTGCATTTTTGACACCACATTTGTTTTTATCTGTGCATGTTAAAAGAAACTTACACACATTGCTATACATTTTAAAGGAATAGTTCAACCAAAAATGGAAATTTACTGAATATTTACTCACCCTCAGGTCATCCAATATGTAGATGACTTTGTTTCTTCATCAGAACATATTTGGAGAAATGTAGCATTGCATCACTTACATGTGAATGGTGAATGGGTGCCGTCAGAATGAGAGTCCAAACAGCTGATAAAAACATCACAATAATCCACTCTAGTCCATCAATTAACATCTTGTGATGTGAAACGCTGTGTGTTCGTAAGAAAAATCCATCAAGATGGATTATTGTGATGTTTTTATCAGCTGTTTGGACTCTCATTCTGACGGCACCCATTCACTGCAGAGGATCCATTGGTGAGCAAGTGATGCAATGCTAAATTTCTACAAGTCTGTTCTGATGAAGAAACAAACTCATCTACATCTTGGGTGGCCTGAGAGAGTACATTTTCAGCAAATTAAAATTTTTGGGTGATCTATTCCTTTAAACCAATTAAACGTATGCTTTATGATCAACAGATATCATATCACAACCATCACTGTTCCTCCATGTCTTCTTGATGGTTACAGACGTTTGGCTGGATGTGGAGTATACAAAGATTTCAAACCAGGTCACACGGGTTTAAGGTGGTCAAGCTGGTTTTGAAACATGGTAGCAGGTTTTTTTACTGGTTCAAAAGGGTTTAGGACAACCGGTTTTAGCTGGATTTTTACAGAGATGGACATTCAATCCAACACAGTAACAAACCCTTCTAACAGCAAAGACAGAAATAACACAACTTCTATAAAAGATAAAGTGTGTGAGTTTTTTTTATTTACCCCCAGAGGGGTAAATAGACAAGACCAGCACAGATTTTGCAGGTTGATTTTTCATCTTGATTATATGCAGGCAAGTTGTTAGTGGAAACGTTTTTGTGGCATGAATTCAGCTGCTCTTTGTTCATCCTGCTCTTGTGTTGTTCTGGTTTATTTATGTGTTTTGTCTGTTTGTTGATCCAGATGTGGCCCATACATTCAGAGATCTCCAACTGCGTCATCAAACGTGAGGAGGAGAGATGCTTGGAGCGAATCGTCCTGCACGACACAAAAGATGACGAAAAGTTTGGTAAGTGAAAGCGAAGACTATCTAACCCACTGTATAGTATACTATGTATACAGAGTATATGCATAGAATATACAGATGAGCAAATGTGGCAAAATGTCAAGTGTACATCTAGTATGGAATTCTGTTACATAATCCAGTGCGTTTAATCTTCCAATTACAATGTGAAAGATGAACAGGAAATGATAACAGCTGAAGTTTTCCCTTTCTAGAGTAATTTTCAATCTAACTGCATCAAAACAGAACAAACTCTTTTGCACATGTCTGAATCACAGTGAACCGCGAGCTGATGAGTGAGCTGATAATAAGAGCATTTTTGTAAAGAAAGATTTTGACTGATGGGTCAAAATATAAAATATAAGCTGGTTTCTATAAAAATGCTAGTTTTTTTAATAAATATAATTTGATTAAATCAGGCAAAACTTTTTGGTACACTACTGTTCTAAAGTTTGGGGTCGATAAGATATTGTTCTTGAAAGAAGTCCCTTATGCGCACCACGGCTGCATTTATTAGATGAAAAATACAGTAAAACTAGTAAAAAAAAAAGTGAAATATTATTACAATTTAAAATAACTTTTCTATGTGAATATATTTTAAAATGTAATTTATTGCTGTGATGCAAAGCTGAATTTTCAGCATCATTACTCCAGTCTTCAGCGTCATATGATCCTTCAGAAATCATTCTAATATGCTGATTTGCTGCTCAAGAAACATTTCTTATTATCATCAATGTTAAAACATTGATGATAATAAGAACAACAAAATGTTGTTGAATATTCTTGTGGAAAATGTGATACATTTTTCTTTAGGATTTTATGATGAACAGAACTGTAGTTTCTGCATCCATATGGCTTTATTGGACTGTGTAAGAGCATGTAATATGCCAGACAGGGATGTCAGCAACCATCAAAGAACTGCTGAATCATTTTTTTTTTAGCCGATTCACTGAAATGAACACTTGAATTCATGGAAATGATTCGAATATGTCACAATGCAACATTCCATCTAGCGTGTTTTCCATTCCGTACTTCCCATCTCGATATCAGTCCTTTGAGACTTTACAGATCTTCTTTATGCACCAAGAGCTTGTATCACTCCAAAGAGAAAGGAAAAATTGAAATCGCATCATATGACCCCTTTAAGCAGAATCGAAATGCACGCGTCTTATCGAATACCCGGTTCTTGGAAATTTGGAAGCGGTTCTAAAATGGAACCGGTTTTCGATACCCAAACCTGGTAAAGACATAATGTTACAAAATATTTATTTTTCAAATAAATGCTGTTCTTTTGAACTTTCAATTCATCAAATAATCCTGGAAAAGGAAAATTACTGTGTTACCCTTTCCACAAAAATATTAATCAGCACAACTGTTTTCAGCATTTATAATAATCAGAAATGTTTCTCGAGCAGCAAATCAGCATATTATTCTGAAAGATAAGACTCGTCCACGCCCTCCTAAAACGCCTCGTTCTAACACACCCCCACATGTCTACATCACTGTGTGGGAAGATTTGCATAACGCCGCCCAAATGTTCACGCAAAGAAAGAAGGTGTAACTTTGATTCTCGCTGTAGTATTGTTGCCGCCGCCGCCATGTTGTGGAGACGCTGTGTGTTTCGTTGTGAAAGCGAAACTACTTTGTTTGGCCTTCCAAAAGAGGACACAACTAGAAATAAGTGGTTAAGTTGTATTTACAAAACTGTTCCAGAACAGTTCTACCCAAATATTCAGATGTGTGCAGCGCATTTTATG